CTGCAACAGCGCACTATGGGGGGAATTTATCAAAACTGGAGCAGACAAGATCTGGAGAAGTCGCCCATGAAAACCAATCAGCTTCTCTCTTCAGTTTGTTCAGTTAAGATTTAAAAATGAAAGAGAGAAGCTGATTGGTTGCCGTGCACGGCTGCTCCAGTTTTTGTCTGCTCCAGTTTTGATAAATTCCCCTCTGTGTCCGTGTAATGTGTGCTTTCCATTAGAAGACCATGTGACAGGGTGACAACACAGGAGAACAATTGAGAGACGGGGACAGAGTGCTATCACCCTACAGCAAGAAGTGCCTAAAAAGAGAAAGGGATTCTTTAGGCTGCAGATAAAAAAGAATCGTAAAAAGGACTTTAACATGTTAAAGCTGATATGAGATTTTAGTGTTGTGTTGACATCTACTTTAAAACTTGACAGACTAGTTCATCTCAGGAACCGTTCACGGCCATATCTGGTCAGCGGGCAGAGGAAACTTGGAAACTGTTGATGACAGAAAACCGTCGAAAATTGCGTCTCGCTGTAGATGGCAGCAGTTCGGGGAATTGATCAGCTCCCGTCCTTGAAAAGGTGTCGGAATGCGGTGATGAGCCAAGTACATTAAAGTAAGCTGTTAACCTTCACCGCCACGGCTGCCACCTTGACTGGCGTCCCTGGCCAACGCTCTCAAAGTTTTCGTCCAACGAGGGCCGGGTTCTCGGCTCGGCACCGGCTTTGATTCACTCCCTACTGGAGCAGGGCAGGAAAGAAATCCATCCAGTACTCCATCGGGGAGCTACAATAGGAGACCGATTAGGAGTTTCACTTGTCAGAAGGAAAATGACTCAGAATCCCTGATGGAAAAAAAAGAAATCTGAAAGGTTCTTAACTTTCCCGGCATCGTTTTCTAGAACGATTTAACCTCCGTGCTGCCAGGAGCCTTCGCCGACCGAGCAAGCGGCAAAGAACGATGGAAACGGCAACAAAATACGGAAAGATGGCGGAGTCGGCGAAGGACGATTGATTCTGCGGGAAATACATTGCAACATTGTGAGACCCAGAAATTGTTACTTCAATTAAAAGGTGGATACCGGCTGTCCCAGGCTGGCCATAAGGCTGGGTTCACACCTAGGCGTATTGAATATGCGCGTTTGTCGCGCGTTTCGTGACTCGCGGTTTTACCGAGGGATACCTGGCTGTATCCCAATGGAAACGCGCGACAAAAACGCCCCAAAGAAGCTCCTGTACGTCTTTGGGCGTAGGACGCTTTGTAGCGCGTTCATAAGGCCAGGTGTGAACCATACCCATAGGAAATAATGGGATTTCGATGTTTGAGCGTTTTGCAGAGCGTAGGAACGCGCTACAGAACGCCCAGGTGTGAACCGGGCCTAAATCTGTAGAATTCCATGCGGAAAAAAATAATTTTCGGAACGTTTGTTCAATTTTCTAACAGTTAATGAAATCAGATCGACGATCGTCTACGACCGCAGTGACGAGAAAAGAAAAGGAGCCGCATGGAAAATGTTCGCGAAGGAACAACATTTTAGCAGTGAACGTGGTTTTCGTTTTGGAAACTCCATTCATTTCCAAAATCGAATGTTCGAATCTAACAACATTTTGTATGACATTTGTCATGTCTCTGGCGGCATTATCGAATGTTCTGATGAGATGAATGTTCCTATGAAAATCTATGTATGGCCAGCTTTAGGGAACAGATTTGTCAAAGCCAGGCAGGGGCGCCCTGAGGGTGGGTGTCACCCGGAGCGGTTACCTGGTGGCACCCCGCCGTAACGTCACCATGCATGCGTGATGACGTCATCGGGCATGCGTGGCAATCTTATGGATACCTGCCGGTGGCCATCTTGGTGACGGACGCCGGCAGAGAGAGGAGGGGGACAGTCAGCCGGCGGGATAAGGTATGCCACCGGGTACCCTCCTCTCTCCCGAAACTGTTGGACGCTCAGTCCACGACCGAGTGCCCGATTTTGCAGAGGGGGGTGACACCAAAATGACTGACAGTCATTTTGGTGTTACTCCTCTGAAGGTGTCACCAGGGTGACAGGGTGACCCCTCGCACCCCACTTGTGACGCCACTGCAGCCAGGAGAGCAACGGCTTGTGGAACCGCAATGATCAGATCAAGGTAAGTGTGTATGTGTGGAAGGGGTTTTGTTAGGTCAGGGGAGATCCGGGAACTCAGCATTGAGATGATGGAACCCCTCATAATGGGCACAGCAGGTGTGCAGACCCAGGAAGTCAGCTCAGGGATGGTGGGAGCTCCTCATAATGGGCACAGCAGGGGTACAGACCCGGGAACTCAGCACAGGAATGGTGGGAGGCCCCTCATAATGAGCACAGCGGGTGTACAAACCCGGGAACTCAGCACAGGGATGGTGGGAGCCCCTCATAATGGGCACAGCGGGGGTACAGACCCGGGAACTCAGCACAGGGATGGTGGGAGCCCCTCATTATGAGCATATCGCGTGTACAGACCCGGGAACTCAGCACAGGGATGGTGGGAGCTCCTCATAATGGGCACAGCGGGGGTACAGACCCGGGAACTCAGCTCAGGGATGGGGGGAGCTCCTCATAATGGGCACAGCGGGGGTACAGACCCGGGAACTCAGCTCAGGGATGGGGGGAGCTCCTCATAATGGGCACAGCGGGGGTACAGACCCGGGAACTCAGCTCAGGGATGGTGGGAGCTCCTCATAATGGGCACAGCAGGTGTACAGACAAAGGAACTCAATGGCAGTGTGGACCCAGAAACTCAGTGCCGGGATGGTGGGAGCATCAAAATCCCAAAATCAGACTAAGGGGAAGTGCTCATTTAAAGCCAAATTCCAGGCAGATATGAAAGACACAGCTCTGCATTCATTCATTTAAATGTAATTACCTGAATTTGACTTGGTACCGGCCTCTTGCAACCCCCTTTACAGCCCCAGTCAGACTGAAAGAGGGTGGGACAACATTGTGAGCCAATCAGGCGCACCACATGCAAATGGACGCACAAGTAACATGCTAAAGAAGAGAAGAGGCGTGACCTTATATGTCTGTGGAAGGGGGTGAAAGGAGGGCACCAGCATCATGCATTTGACTCTACAGTGTGGCAGAGCCAGGGCCGGTGCTAGGATTGTAGTCAAGGTGGACAAGGTGCAATTTTGCGCCCCCCAGCTAGCGCCGGGCCTGGGCAGAGCTGTGCGTCAGGACTGGATGGACAGAAATACGAATCCTTTGACAGGCAAAACATTTCCCTCCTTCGGTGTATCTGTGTGCCCGGAGTTCAGCTTTAACTCCGCAACTCACCAAAACTTTCCAAAATGTTATTTTTCTCAGAATAAAAAGAGATGAAAAAAGCCAGAAAAATTCGGCCGGCTCAGAACAAAGTCCTCCCGACCTGCTCTCCTCCTCAGACTCCGGTAACAAGCAGTCCGGCCTTCGTGTCTAGAAATTAATTAGTAAGAGGAAACATGAAAAGCGGCAGAAACGTTTATTAGTCAACATTAATGCGCTAAGTGATTTGCCGACACGGTCACACATTTTAATGTGATCCCGCCCACTTTTTCGGCGGTGGAATATGTGACCCGCAGAATTGCAGCTGTGTGATCCCGCCCACTTTTTCCGGCGGTGGAATATGTGACCGGCAGAATTGCAGCTGTTCCGGGGCAGATCGGCATCGCAGATGGCATGTGCAGGAGAACCGACCTGCCCTGGAACAGTTGATCGGTCCCGAAACGTCACTTCTATCCGACTTTGTGACTCCGATCTCACATTCCACAAAGTCGGATAAAAGTGACGTTTCAGGACCGATCAGCTGTTCCAGGGCAGGTCGGTTCTCCTGCACATACCATCCGCGATGCCGATCTGCCCTGGAACAGCTGAAAAATCGTTGGAATTCTTCAACTTTTGCCGGTCACGTATTCCGCCGCAGAAAAAGTGGGCGTGACTACGTTTCAAATGTGTGGCCACGTGACCGGTCACACATTCCAACCCAGTCACAATCGTAGATAGAACAACGGCTTGTGGGCTGTCCCTCGGCTTTCTCACATATAATGCAGAACATTGCACTTTACGATGCCAGTAGGCCTCAGCGACACCCACAGTGCATGGGGGAAGAGGCTGCGGGTGCTGGTCCAACATTGTCCACAGTGAAATGGTAAGTGGGTGCGTTTTAACGTACGTCAATGCATACAGGTTATCCATTGTTCTAAAATGCGTTCGTTCACATCTCTGCAATGTGTTGTCTGTTTTTTTGATACACATTATGAGATGAAGAGGACCGGTGAGCTCCCGAAACCCGCTGGATACATTGTTATCATTTCTGCTCATGCCAATAAAGAACGACTGGACTGACTTGGAATCCGCATGGGACCCTCGTCTTTGCACTTTATTACAATTACATGATTGTCGAGAACGCACATATAGCCGCATACCAATCATTTGTCAGCATTACTGTACCAATCTAGAACGTAATATCGCACCCGTGATAAACGCAGTGATTATACAGAGAGCAGAAGGCCTACGGGCGCTGAGACGCAGGAGCGCCGCCGCTGACCTCCGTCCTCCCCTTCAGTCTTCTATCTGACCTCCGTCCTCCCCTTCACTCTTATATCTGACCTCCGTCCTCCCCTTCACTCTTATATCTGACCTCCGTCCTCCCCTTCACTCTTATATCTGACCTCCGTCCTTCCCTTCAGTCTTCTATCTGACCTGACGGAGGTCAGATAGAAGACTGAAGGGGAGGACGGAGGTCAGATAGAAGACTGAAGGGGGAGGACGGAGGTCAGATAGAAGACTGAAGGAAATGACGGAGGTCAGATAGATGACTGAAGGGAAGGACGGAGGTCAGATAGAAGACTGAAGGGGAGGACGGAGGTCAGATAGAAGATTGAAGGGGAGGACGGAGGTCAGATAGAAGACTGAAGGGAAGGACAGAGGTCAGATATAATTCTTGAGGGGAGGACGGAGTTCTGCTTTAAATGTACTAAAGGCAGTATAACTGGCTGGAATCTGTCTTTATATTATCTCCCCCCACCATCTCCGGCACATCAGAAATGTTCTTGAGCGAGGGAGCTTCTTATCCGCGGACCAATCCTCGTGCTATTGTTTTATGATTTGCTGGCAAGCAATGAACAGGAAGGTGACACGGGAAGCGTCAGAGCTGTTAATGGTCCTGTCACTTAGCTCTCTATACACATGAGAGGGCTTCGTGAATCACCGGTCCGGATCACTGTATAAACCAGCTCACCTCTATGTATTTATACCGCGCGCGCACTCAGCTGGAGTTCTGCTTTAAGTCCTCGGTCTCTCGGCGGGCTGAACATTTTGGCATTTGAGTATTTGAGGTTTTTGCTGATTCCGGTCATTTCTTTCTGAAACGCGTCCAATGTCATTGGAATTTTGATGCCGGAGACCCGCGCGTGTTTTTCTGGCAGCTGGCATGAGCTTGCATATTACCAGCCGGTGAACCTGGCCAGCGAGCCGCCGAGGGACCAGGAGGTTGGGGGGGTGGGACGAGTGTCTGCGCATTTAAATGGCTTCTGCAAACTTTCTGCTTCTGTTGCCCGCAGAACGCGGCAGAGAAACGCCGGGCTTGATCGGGAGCCAAGACGCAGCCTCCTGACACCGGCAACACAAGCCCGTTCCTGACACAAGATGTATGACTTGGACTCCGGCAGACGGATCGGCGTCCCAGAGAGCAGAGCTCAACTACAAACACGGGACGCCGCGGTCCTCGGCTCAGGCAGCCAGAAGGACAAAGTAAAGGTCAGGCCTACAGTAGTAGGAGGAGCGTGCGCAGCAATGAGATGGAATTGTCTGAAGGGAAAAAGAGATCCTATGGAAATGTAGATGATAAATAAATGGCAACAGTTTAAAATGGACCCGAAATGAGAAAGTGAAGACGTGCCATCGTCCAGGGAACATCGAGAAATCTTCTGCTGAAGCCGCACCCTGAAAAATCTACAATTTGTCTTGAAAAATAGCAGTACACTTCCTGGACCTAGATACTCCTAATATCAGTGCACTTCCTGTGCCTAGCCACTCATAATATCGGTGCACTTCCTGTGCCTAGCCACTCCTAATATCCGTGCACTTCCTACGTCTAAGCACTTCTGATATTGGTGCACTTTCTGTGCCTAGCCACTCCTGATATCAGAGCACTTCCTGTGTCTAGAGACTCCTGTTATCAGTGCACTTCCTGTGTCTAGGCACTCCGGATATCAGAGCACTTCCTGTATCTAGGCACTCCTGATATTGGTGCACTTCCTGTGCCTAGCCACTGCTGATATCAGAGCACTTCCGTCTAGGGACTCCTGTTATCGGTGCACTTCCTGTGTCTAAGCACTCCTAATATCAGTGCACTTCCTGTATCTAGGCACTCCTGATATCTGTGCACTTCCTATGTCTAAGCACTCCTGATATCTGTGCACTTCCTATGTCTAAGCACTCCTGATATCGGTGCACTTCCTGTATCCAGGAACTCCTGATATTGGTGCACTTTATGTGCCTAGCTACTCCTGATATGAGAGCACTTCCTGTGTCTAGAGACTCCTGTTATCAGTGCACTTCCTGTGTCTAGGGACTCCTGATATTGGTGCACTTCCTGTATCTAGGCACTCCGGATATCAGAGCACTTCCTGTATCTAGGCACTCCTGATATTGGTGCACTTCCTGTGCCTAGCCACTCCTGATATTGGTGTACTTCCTGCGCCTAGGCACTCCGGATATCAGAGCACTTCCTGTGTCTAGGGACCCCTGTTCTGTAGATATGAAGAGGAGAACTTTGATGTAAAGAGAGGGAACCTGATGTGAAAGAGGGGGACTTTGATGTGAAGGTGGGAAATGCAATGTAAAGAGGGGGACACTGATGTGCAGGGAGGACTCTGATGTAAAGTGGGGACACTGATGTGAAGGGAGGACTCGGATGTAAAGAGGGGGACTCGGATGTAAAGAGGGGGACTCGGATGTGAAGAGGGGGACTCGGATGTGAAGGAGGGATCTGATGTAAAGAGGGGAACTCTGATGTAGAGGGGGACTCTGATGTAGAGGGGGACTCTGATGTAGAGGGGGACTCTGATGTAAAGAGGGGGACTCTGATGTAGAGGGGGACTCTGATGTAAAGAGGGAGACTATGGTGTGTGAAGGGGGGACTGTGGTGTGAAATGGGGATTTTAATGTGATGGGGGAACTTCACTTGTTTGTATTTGCCTGGGGTCCCCTCCTAAATTTCTATACCGGACCCCTCTCTTGGAAGGGCCTTGTATGGATTTTGAAGCGACTATACATTGTTTTGTAAATTTTAGTCTGTGGGGCGTCAAGATTTTGCATACTTTAAAAGGGTGCCATGACTGAAAGAAGGCTGAGAAACAGGGGGGGGGGGGCTCGGTTGGGGAGGGGGGGTCTGATGTAAAGAGGGGGACTCTGATGTAGAGGGGGACTCTGATGTAGAGGGGGACTCTGATGTAGAGGGGGACTCTGATGTAAAGAGGGGGACTCTGATGTAGAGGGGGACTCTGATGTAAAGAGGGAGACTATGGTGTGTGAAGGGGGGACTGTGGTGTGAAATGGGGATTTTAATGTGATGGGGGAACTTCACTTGTTTGTATTTGCCTGGGGTCCCCTCCTAAATTTCTATACCGGACCCCTCTCTTGGAAGGGCCTTGTATGGATTTTGAAGCGACTATACATTGTTTTGTAAATTTTAGTCTGTGGGGCGTCAAGATTTTGCATACTTTAAAAGGGTGCCATGACTGAAAGAAGGCTGAGAAACTCTGATGTAGAGTGAGTGATAGTTATAGAAACCTAAAGCCGGACTGGAGACATCTATGGGTATGCGAGAGGTCCCCCATAATGTCCTCTTCTGGCTTGATTCATTCCGCGCTCCAGAGCTGCAAATATATTATCTAATGAAAACATTGGTGAATTATTAAGAATGCACAGAGGCCCCGTATAAATATAACATTACCGCTTCCCCTCTCTTACAGGGGAGAATTATCATTCCGGACTCATAGCGCCAGCATGAAATGAGAGGGACATTAGCATAATGCTACTAATGAATATGGGTCAAGGGTAATGGCGGATAGTGAGCGAGCCGCGCGAAAACTGCCCCGCGGTTAGACTACGGTGTGACTACTCCAGAGACTGAGCCGGACACTGGACAGGAGGAGCGGAGAAGATTAACTTCACCTTTGTGATGGTCATAATAATGAAGAGTCATGTGACTATCATTCCTGCAGCACTATAATCTCCTCTCCGTACAGCACCCGCCCTGATACAGTGTCTGAAAGCATGCACACAGGGAAAGGGAAGGAGGCTTTCTTGGACACCCTTTAGATGTGCAATCAGTGCTGAACCCTGACTGTGGTAGAAATACAAGTCCCACGATGCATTGCAAGACTTTGCCAGCCGAGAAGGCAAGACTCGCAGAGGCTCCACGTGCCGAGCCCGCCAGGAAGCTGACAGCGCCGCAGCGCAGTTTTGCAGTTTCACTACAGCTGGAGTGAGGAGGTTGCCTACCTCCGATATATGCCGTTGACAGCGTTTTGTTCTATCTGTTCACAAGGCACACATACCTGTCGATTCAGGCCCGGCCTAGCTCTCTCTGTGGACTAGAGAACACCCCCCCATGTTAAAAAGAATGTAGATGGACTTCCTGTCCCAGGGTGACAACCAGGGACGTGCGGTCAGGGGAGGCAGCTTTTTCTCCATTCAGTTCAGCATCTAACAGGTAGTGACCCAATGACATACCGCCTCTGGCTACCTTATTATAGGCACAGCCCCGATCACAGGCCATTTTGGCTTGCCATAGAGTAGAACCGAAGCCCAAAACCTTTTTTTTTTTAAAGTTTCCCATAGAGGAAAAGATGGTTATTTTGCCATCTGTGTCCCATTGGGGAGATTTACCTTCACTTCCTGTCTGAAAGCCGCAACAGGAAGCAAGAGCAAATCACTCCAAAGTGAGGGGAGTCCCTGGTGGTCAGTAGTGTCACCGGAACTAAAAGATTTGCCCTCTATTCCTGTTCTGGTGACAACCCGAAATTTGGGATTTTCTTCCACTTTGAGTGATAATGATCCCCAGGACAGATGAAGAGGGTGAATGTGAATGTTCAGGAGCGGCTCATTGTTAAAGTGTTTAAAGACCGGACCGTCAGCCTGAAAATCTGGGTCTGAGCGTGCGAATTGTGGCCGTCAGCGACTAGTCAATGTTAGGGCAGAAAGGGGGAGGGGCACGACTGGTACAAGACAACAGAAGGGCAACAGTGCAGTGTCAGATTCCTAGCCTGACCTACAGGCGGCCACTAGAGGGAGACATCCGATTATGGAAATACGGGAACAACAAGTAAAGAACATCTAATTGCCACCGACAACGGTGTTTAGGTAACCTTTACAATAACGGGCACTCACCGAAAAGTCACAATCATTTCCATCGCGGCACAATTCTCCCTTTGTAGTCATTTCGGCAAATCAGTCACAAAATTACATCGAAATTACCGTTTACGTTTTTTTCCATCCTCATAACGCGGCTCGGTGGAAGAAGACATCATGTTTATTTTCTCGCTGTGACAAAGGATGGGAGTTTAAAAAAAAAAAAAGCGGAACAAACAGCCAGAGAGCATTATAAATAACCCGACCGCCGCGTAGAAGCCTAAAAATGGAGCTCTTACTTGGCGGAGAGCCCCTTAAATAAACGGGAGAAGTGGGGGAAATAAAAAATCAGGCCGCGGCTGATTGCGAAAAGCACTCAGGACTGCGATTCCATAATTCATATGTCACGTCGAATCTCGGCATTACCCGCATCTGCATTACGGCAAGCCGGGGCGCGTAATCCCGGCGTTATTAGAGGCGGATTCATGAATTGCTTGGATGCCATTTTGTTTGGGAACGGGCTAAAGCTAAAACAGAAAGATTAGGGACCGGAGAGGATGGAGGGATGGAGTGGACCAAGGTCAGATAGAAGACTGAAGGGAAGGACGGAGGTCAGAGAGAAGACTGAAGGGAAGGATGGAGGTCAGATAGAAGACTGAAGGGAAGGCCGGAGGTCAGATAGAAGACTGAAGGGAAGGCCGGAGGTCAGATAGAAGACTGAAGGGAAGGCCGGAGGTCAGATAGAAGACTGAAGGGAAGGCCGGAGGTCAGATAGAAGACTGAAGGGAAGGCCGGAGGTCAGATAGAAGACTGAAGGGAAGGCCGGAGGTCAGATAGAAGACTGAAGGGAAGGCCGGAGGTCAGATAGAAGACTGAAGGGAAGGCCGGAGGTCAGATAGAAGACTGAAGGGAAGGCCGGAGGTCAGATAGAAGACTGAAGGGAAGGCCGGAGGTCAGATAGAAGACTGAAGGGAAGGCCGGAGGTCAGATAGAAGACTGAAGGGAAGGCCGGAGGTCAGATAGAAGACTGAAGGGAAGGCCGGAGGTCAGATAGAAGACTGAAGGGAAGGCCGGAGGTCAGATAGAAGACTGAAGGGAAGGCCGGAGGTCAGATAGAAGACTGAAGGGAAGGCCGGAGGTCAGATAGAAGACTGAAGGGAAGGCCGGAGGTCAGATAGAAGACTGAAGGGAAGGCCGGAGGTCAGATAGAAGACTGAAGGGAAGGCCGGAGGTCAGATAGAAGACTGAAGGGAAGGCCGGAGGTCAGATAGAAGACTGAAGGGAAGGCCGGAGGTCAGATAGAAGACTGAAGGGAAGGCCGGAGGTCAGATAGAAGACTGAAGGGAAGGCCGGAGGTCAGATAGAAGACTGAAGGGAAGGCCGGAGGTCAGATAGAAGACTGAAGGGAAGGCCGGAGGTCAGATAGAAGACTGAAGGGAAGGCCGGAGGTCAGATAGAAGACTGAAGGGAAGGCCGGAGGTCAGATAGAAGACTGAAGGGAAGGCCGGAGGTCAGATAGAAGACTGAAGGGAAGGCCGGAGGTCAGATAGAAGACTGAAGGGAAGGCCGGAGGTCAGATAGAAGACTGAAGGGAAGGCCGGAGGTCAGATAGAAGACTGAAGGGAAGGCCGGAGGTCAGATAGAAGACTGAAGGGAAGGACGGAAGTCAGATAGAAGACTGAAGGGGAAGACGGGGGTCAGATAGAAGACTGGAGGGAAGGCCGGAGGTCAGATAGAAGATTGAAGGGAAGGACGGAGGTCAGATAGAAGACTGAAGGGGAAGGACGGAGGTCAGATAGAAGACTGAAGGGGAAGGACGGAGGTCAGATAGAAGACTGAAGGGGAAGGACGGAGGTCAGATAGAAGACTGAAGGGGAAGGACGGAGGTCAGATAGAAGACTGAAGGGGAAGGACGGAGGTCAGATAGAAGACTGAAGGGGAAGGACGGAGGTCAGATAGAAGACTGAAGGGGAAGGACGGAGGTCAGATAGAAGACTGAAGGGGAAGGACGGAGGTCAGATAGAAGACTGAAGGGGAAGGACGGAGGTCAGATAGAAGACTGAAGGGGAAGGACGGAGGTCAGATAGAAGACTGAAGGGGAAGGACGGAGGTCAGATAGAAGACTGAAGGGGAAGGACGGAGGTCAGATAGAAGACTGAAGGGGAAGGACGGAGGTCAGATAGAAGACTGAAGGGGAAGGACGGAGGTCAGATAGAAGACTGAAGGGGAAGGACGGAGGTCAGATAGAAGACTGAAGGGGAAGGACGGAGGTCAGATAGAAGACTGAAGGGGAAGGACGGAGGTCAGATAGAAGACTGAAGGGGAAGGACGGAGGTCAGATAGAAGACTGAAGGGGAAGGACGGAGGTCAGATAGAAGACTGAAGGGGAAGGACGGAGGTCAGATAGAAGACTGAAGGGGAAGGACGGAGGTCAGATAGAAGACTGAAGGGGAAGGACGGAGGTCAGATAGAAGACTGAAGGGGAAGGACGGAGGTCAGATAGAAGACTGAAGGGGAAGGACGGAGGTCAGATAGAAGACTGAAGGGGAAGGACGGAGGTCAGATAGAAGACTGAAGGGGAAGGACGGAGGTCAGATAGAAGACTGAAGGGGAAGGACGGAGGTCAGATAGAAGACTGAAGGGGAAGGACGGAGGTCAGATAGAAGACTGAAGGGGAAGGACGGAGGTCAGATAGAAGACTGAAGGGGAAGGACGGAGGTCAGATAGAAGACTGAAGGGGAAGGACGGAGGTCAGATAGAAGACTGAAGGGGAAGGACGGAGGTCAGATAGAAGACTGAAGGGGAGGACGGAGGTCAGATAGGAGACTGAAGGGGAGGACAGAGGTCAGATAGAAGACTGAAAGGAAGGAGAGAGGCCAGATGTAAGGCTAAAGGGAAGAACAGAGTTCAAATACAAGAATGAAGGGAAGGACGGAGGTGAGAGAGAAGACTGAAGGGAAGGTCGGAGGTCAGATATAAGATTGAAGGGAAGGTCGGAGGTCAGCTTTAAGTGAATGCATCTTTCCCAATATAATTAAAAGCTATACAGGAGGAACCGCGTTTCCAAGACGTGAGCATATTGATCCCGCGCTGATCTCCTCCACACATTACCCTCCAAAACATTGAGAAGACAATGAGATCCCTTTCAGCGCATCCTGGCTGCTGACTCCTATGTAACTCCGTAATTTGCATTCCGACCAGCTGGGATTAGAAGACGGAATAACTCGGCAGGAGCAATTAGAAGAGGTGACCGCAGACTATCAAGTCCATTAGTGCTGTTAGAGAGCCAAAATAATGCACAATCAGGAAAGGAAAAACATTCGGCGTGCTCGTTTTCCCTCACCGCCGGGCCTCGGAGACTTCACAGAGCTCAATAAACAGCCTTCCCCGCAGAAAGCTTCAATCTGGCATCACACCATTAAAATGAAGAGACTCTGTATGGGGAGTCGCTTCGCTAACCATGATATCATTCTGGGAAAAGCTTGGCGTCCTCCACCATTGCCCATTTATGGTTCTCATATTGCCACCATTGCCCATTTATGGTTCTCATATTGCCACCACTGCCCATTTATGGTTCTTATTCAACCTTGCCCATCGAATTCAACCTTATTGTCCACATATTGTCATGATTGCCCATTTATTGCCCACATATTGTCATGATTGCCCATTTATTGTCCACATATTGTCACAATTGCTGGTTTGTTGTCCACATATTGTCGGGACTGCCTGTTTTTTGTACCTCGGTTCACAAACTTAATTTGTTGCACCATTCTGGTCACGAATTGAATTGGTAGCGAACCGAATGAAACTGCGATCAGACCGCGATCTCGACTAGAGGAAGCCATGACCACGTGTCAGAGCGGGGAAGATGGCTGCGGCTGTGTTCGTCACCCCGATGCGGAGTTCACGAACGGAAGCAAAATTTTATTGGTCGCAAAGCGTTCGTGAACCGAGATACCACTGTATAGTCAAAAGTGCCTGTGTATTGTCCTCGTACTCCTTTGTTGCCCGCATGTTGCCACGACTGCTTGTTTTGTTCCCATGTATCCTAAGCGTTGCTGGTTTGCAGTTCAGGCATTTTTAGGAATGGCCTTTTTTTACCTCTGTATTGTCAACTCAACAGAGTTTGTTTAGAAGAGAATGTTACCATAATTTAATTCCCGCAGGCCTGTAATGACCCAACTGCACCGCTGTGAGCCCCATAATCGGCATACTTTGCTTGCCGCTATTACACAATTGCTTCTATTTTGGTTTCCCAGGTGTAGCACGTCACCATTGCCCCTGTTAACCCCTCTCTCACCGTGCCCCAATCTTGGGCTCACTGACTTGAGAAAGTTCCCACATACTGTATGCTCATTGGGCTCATGCTCATTGGGCTCATGCTCATTGGGCTCAGGTATAACAAAACACTCCCAACGGTATATTTAACAGATCAAAAGGGAGCAAATAGTATAATTGTATTGTTTAAGGAATGCTAAAATGACATACGATGATATTGACTACGGCCACTTTGTCATGCACTCAGCACACTTTAAGGTGCGTCCAGTCAGGGGCGTCCCGAGGCCGGGTGTCACCTGGAGCGGTTGCCGGGTGACACCCTGCCATGACGTCGCCATGCGCATGCGAGATGACGTTATCGCGCATGTGCGACGACCTTATTGATGCCTGCCGCCAGGCATCTTGGTGATGGACGCCGGCAGAGAGAGGAGGGGACAGTCACTCGGCGGGATGAGGTATGCCGCCCGGACCCCTCCTCTCTCCCGAAACTGTCGGGCGCTCGGCCCATGACTGAGTGCCTGACTTTTCAGAGGGGGGGGTGACACCAAAACGACTGTCATTTTGGTGTCAGCCCTCCGATGGTGTCACCCGGGTACGGAGCCGCACCCCCCTTGTGACGCCATTGGGTCCAGTGCTGCTTGACATTTCACAAATTGATAGATGAAAGTAGTCACTCGCACGCCATGATATTAAAGTCAATGCTGTTTATTGACTGAGATAACACACATCTCCTTAGCGACGTTTCGAGAACCATGCGGCCCCGTCCCCTCTGTTTGCCTGAGGACGGGGGCCGCATGGTCTCAAAACGTCGCTATGGAGATGTGTGTTATCTCAGTCAATAAACAGCATTGACTTTAATATCATGGCGTGCGAGTGACTACTTTCATCTATCTACATTTCACGGAGGCATCCGTTGTCACCACCACACCCACCCAGTTTGATTTTGTTTTTTGTCCAGTCAGGAGTGCGATGGGACAGGAGGATTACATTTCACGAATTGAGGCCATAGGTTGCTATCGGTAACCCCTCCAACAAATCTGGCTTTACATCATGCTAATCCAATGGCTTCAATACTTTCTCGGCGTGAAAGCCAACAATGGCAGCTTACACATTACTCTCAGAACAGGTTTCCTTTAAGTCAGCATCTATCAGAAACACATTCATTGCACCCGTTTTTGGCTGGAAAGACCCTCTGCTGTACGCCTCATTAAATGCTACTGGCCATCAAAACTTTTCTCGTGCCACCAAGATTGTTAGGACGGTTCCGTCATCTCATCCTCTCACATTGCTCAGCGTGTGCTGCATTTCCTCCTACCTGTACAGGAGAAGTCGTCCACCCGGGTGTATCCTGAGACGCAGTCGCAGCGGTAAGATCCCGGTAAATTGACACATACGGTGTTGGCTTGACAGTAATGCATTTTGGCAGCACATTCATCAATGTCTGCAACGAGACAGAACACAGTACACAAACGTTAGCCAGGAAACAATGAACCTATACGGCTTCATTTTACTTAGTGTTTCACCTCAGAAAAGCTTCCCTATAACCACAATCCAGACAACGCATACAAGCAAAAAGTGCAGCGGTAATGTGCAAAGGGCACTAACCTCGGGAGAGCCATCTGAAATGGGGGCAAAATGTGAGCTAAATGTGAGCTTTAGTACCATTGGCCTTTGTAACTTTGCCAGCAGGGCCGGATTTACTCTCCCTGCTGCCACAAGGCCAGATTCCAGAATGCGCCCCTGTCCCCGCTAACATTTACATTTTTTTTAATTGGCTTTTTTTTTTCTTACTTTTATTATCACTTTTTTATTTTTTATAATTTTTTATCTTATTATTGTTTATACAACTTTGCCTATGTAGGCAAAAATCCTAGCACCGGTCCTGCTGCCATGGGGGATCTCACTCCCATGGTCTGGAGTCAATGGGTTTCCCTGCTTTGTCATCATGCTGTGCGGCAGCAGTCCCTGACATCTCATGGTTTTCAGAGTTTCCTGAAGACAGTCATGGTGCTGTGCAGAGATGATCCATATGTATTGGCTTGTAGTCTAAGACCTCCCATTACTGGAGTTTCCGGAAGCACACCCTGGGATTTCAACCAACTCATGGACCTGCAGGAAGAGGCCACTACACGCATTTTGCTAATCTCCAGCAGATTGTAAAAAAAATAGATTATAAAGTCCTCATAGACTATAAAAAGGAAGAAATCAGTGACCCATCTCTGCATAATAAGAGCAGTGAAGGCAGAAAAAGAACGGCCATTTCTTGTTCTGCCTATTTGTGGTATGACAATCCTAATTATGCTTCCCATACCAAGTATGACAATACAGACAAGAGAGTGACATTTAACCAACACGCCGGGATTAGGCCGCACGCTGCAGGTAGATGTTTATATCAGGAGAGGGTTTTGTTTGACATTTTCCGCAGTCGGAATTCTCAATAGAGATCAAGGGATTTCCTGTCTGGGTGCCATATCAGAGTCTACAGTAACACGCTATGCGTTGTAGCCGTGTGTCTCCTGGCTGCCTCGACAACCCCAGCAACACACACCATGTATGGTGAGCTGAAGGTGCTTGTAGAGGGGATGACTTCCAGCTGGAGTACACGCTACAATACATCCGGAAATTCTAATGCATTGAAAAATGTTCATATTTTTATTTTTTTTCCATATACATTTTTTTATTTGAGGTAAAAGACAATAAAATGATAAGTCGGTGTACGACAAATTCACAGTGCTTCAATGTACATATTAATATTGCTTTTACAGATCGGAGCCTGGAATCTTGTGTTATCGGCCACAGGAGGCTTCCAGGTAGGTTAAGTAAGCGTTGACTGGCATATATTCTAGCAGTTTGGTAAATATTCCAGGTAGTTAGAATGTTATTTAAGGTCTTAGAGCTCAGCCTGGATAGCCTGACGGCAAAAAGGTAGAAGAGATCTGTAAAGGGCGTGCGGTAGGTAGGCGTGATACGCAGAGTGGGTATTCCAGGGTCCGATGTACATTGTGGTGGAAGTACGAATGATAATTTGGAGGGGGAAGGGCATAGGAGAGCATAGGAGAGCAGTGTTTTGCACTTGAAAGAGTTGGTGGCATCAAAACTGGATCCTACATTTCAGGTACAATTCAGGTCAGACTGAAGGATCTGTATGCCTGTCCAGCCAGTCTTATGATCAAGAGACCCCCGCCAGGCAACAGAGCCAGAAGTTGGACTTCAACTACAGCATCAGCTGATCATGGACAAAGAACACCCCCCCAGCCTGCTGATTGGACAGCAAAGGAGTATGAGCTTATGAGTACTAGACCTTTCCCCTGGCCTGAGTGCTACAGTGCAGAGGGTAACAGGAGGCCCGTCATTGTAGAGCTAAAACCCCCCCAGCGGCAACTGATAACAGCCACGCTGAAAAGAAAAAAAGGAAGAATAATTGAGTGCGCCTTTTTAATGCAGCCTCTTAGAAAACGCACCCCTCAGGCAAAGGCCGACCTCGCCTGTTAAGAGGGGGGGAAAAAAACAACGAATCTATTTCCGCGCACTTCTCAAACGTTTTTTTACATTAAAAAAACAAAAAGTAGAGCAGAAGGCTTCTATTCCCCGAAGACATATTTCCCATTCAGCTGCTGGAAACTGAGCCCAGAAGGGTTAAAAAGGGGACACTCAGGTGAAAAACTGCGTCAGGACAATTAAGCCCACCGCGGGGATGAAAGTTTCTGACTGAGCTCTCCCATTAAGAGCCCACAACACTGCTGCCCTACTAATGATATACAAAAACAGTGGCACGCCGGCGCACGCCATCGGAATACTGACGAGTAGACACTTCTTTTTTTCTGTTGCGCATCCTTTCGACTTGTTAGTTTGTTTCTCCTATTAAAACCTTCTCTTCCCGTAAATATTTTTGTATTCCAAGCAGCCGCTTTGGAAATTAGCGGTTTTCACCGTGGAACCGCCAGTGACCCGCGAGGAGGAGGGAAAAGAGCAATTTGCTTCGATTTTTACTTTGCAAATGTGAGCTTACCGAGTGTGACCACGAAGAGAGTAGGGAGGAAAAAAGAACCAGATAAGCCTGCGGAGATTTTCCTTATCACACTTCCCGTGTCAGTCGTCTTGATGATATACTGAGAGAGACGGAGAGAGTTAGGGAAGTGTGAAAGAGAGGAGTCACGTTGTTCCTGCAGAGATGGATGGCCGGAATGGTGGATGGGATTGGGTTTCTCTGGAAAAGGGAAACTCTGGAATATGTTTATGTGTCAGTTATCACTGCCATGTATATCTGGTGCTCAGACCAGCTTCTAATGAACACTGTGCTTCACTCAGGTGGTGAAAATACCATATACATTGTATCCTCAAACCAGTCCATATACATTGTATCCTCAAACCAGTCCATATACATTGTATCCTCAAACCAGTCCATATACATTGTATCCTCAAACCAGTCCATATACATTGTATCCCCAAACCAGTCCATGTACATTGTATCCCCAAACCAGTCCATATACATTGTATCCTCAAACCAGTCCATATACATTGTATCCTCAAACCAGTCCATGTACATTGTATCCTCAAACCAGTTCATATACATTGTATCCCCAAACCAGTCCATATACATTGTATCCTCAAACCAGTCCATGTACATTGTATCCCCAAACCAGTCCATGTACATTGTATCCCCAAACCAGTCCATGTACATTGTATCCCCAAACCAGTCCATATACATTGTATCCCCAAACCAGTCCATGTACATTGTATCCCCAAACCAGTCCATATATATATTGTATCCTCAAACCAGTCCATGTACACTGTATCCCCAAACCAGTCCATGTAAATTGTATCCTCAAACCAGTCCATGTACATTGTATCCCCAAACCAGTCCATGTACATTGTATCCCCAAACCAGTCCATATATATATTGTATCCTCAAACCAGTCCATGTACACTGTATCCCCAAACCAGTCCATGTACATTGTATCGTCAAACCAGTCCATATACATTGTATCCCCAAACCAGTCCATATGCATTGTATCCCCACACCAGTCCATGTACATTGTATCCCCAAACCAGTCCATGTACATTGTATGCCCAAACCAGTCAATGTACATTGTATCCCCAAACCAGTCCATGTACATAGTATTCCTAAACCAGTCCATATACATTGTGTCCTCTAACCAGTTCATATACATTGTATCCCCAAACCAGTCCATGTACATTGTATCCTCTAACCAGTCCATATACATTGTATCCCCAAACCCGTCTATATACATCGTCTCCCCGAACCAGTCCATGTAAATTGTATCCTCAAACCAGTCCATGTACATTGTATCCCCAAACCAGTCCATGTACATTGTATCCCCAAACCAGTCCATATATATATTGTATCCTCAAACCAGTCCATGTACACTGTATCCCCAAACCAGTCCATGTACATTGTATCGTCAAACCAGTCCATATACATTGTATCCCCAAACCAGTCCATATACATTGTGTCCCCAAACCAGTCCAAATACATTGTATCCCCAAACCAGTCCATATACATTGTATCCCCAAACCAGTTCATAAACATTATGTCCCCAAACCAATTCATATACATTGTATCCCCCTACCCGGTCCATCCCTCTTCAAGACCTGCAGTCGACCCACTTCTGATCTGCAGTTGACCTTCTTCTAGACCTGCAGTTGACCCACTTCTGATCTGCAGTTGACTTCTTATAGACTTGCAGTTGACCTTCTTCTGACCTGCAGTTGATCTATTTCTTCTGACTTTCTTCTGACCTGCAGTTGACTTCCTCTAGATCTGCAGTTGACCTTCCTCTGACCTGCAGTTGACCCACTTCTGATTCTAGACCTGCTGTTGATTTACTTCTAGACCTGCAGTTGAATTCTTCAAGACATGCAGTTGACCTTTTTTTGATCTGCAGTTGATCTGTTTCTGACCTGCAGCTGACTTCCTTCTAAGCTACATCAATCTGTTATTGCATTTCCATAGACTTGTATGGAGAGGAAAGCAATTCTGAAGGGAACACAAGCCCACGTAACAGGTCCTTTACATATCTATCTCCAACCTCATTAAAACGACTCTACATTCCTTTTAAGTTAAACCTAACACCTGAAACTGATCATGCAAAACGTTTGATTTTTTTTTTTCCCCCTGACGATTCCTTTCTAAGATCTGGCAGAAGTCTTCCAGTCCCCCGGGATTCTAAGTCCTGCCAGAGAATGGTAGCCGGACTTTATCTGCACTTTGCATACACTGCCTGCCTCCTATCTATGTCCCGCTGTATCGACTAGCCAACTGCTTCAGTTCCGCATAGATGCTATCTCCTGATGATAAATTGGAGTGAGCTACTCCTATAATTGATCTGGAATCTCCGGGCCCTCGGCAACCTTTCACTGTGGCGTTTTGAAGGTCTGTATCTCGCTGAAAAATGAAATGCAGATATAAACATTGGCGGCTC